CCAAAACCGGCGCATGCGCAAGGAGAGAGTGACCTTTGACCGGAGTGACTGACAGGCCATCTGCCAAAACGACTGTACCACTTTCCCTTCCTCCACAAAACCCTTTTCGCACTATTTGCTATTCTCCAATGTGCAAATAATAATGAAGGAAAATAATCACAGTAATAATATATATGTATACAAAACAAACAGCTTAAAGAAAAATAACAGAGAATTATATGAATTAATCAATAGTTGGTTCATATTAATGTAGAAGATTCTGTTGATATGAACTGACTGATAACATCCCTTTGAGAATATAACGAAAGTTTACAACATATGCATAATATAAAATGAAACTATACGCAATAACATCCACTCTAACCAATGAAACAAACAAACGAAAAAAACAATGGATAACTAAAACTAAAATATCCAGACAACCAAGTTTATTACCACCATCATATCATCATGACACCAAGACCAGAAAATAATCAAGACAAACGTAAGAATCTGAGAAGTATTAATCTGAGACGCGGGAAAAGTTGGAAAAGGGAAAAATGCCAACCCCTTTTTCCTGAATTCCGCCGCGACAAAGTGACCGTTAACCTCTCAATTTTGAAAGTGCGGGCTGGTTGGGTTAACCACCAGGAAAAAAAAGAGCCAATCAGAAAGCGGTATAGAATTCGCCATTTTTTTTCAGCGGTTTTAGCTTTCTTGGCCGGGCCGTTACCGCGAATTGATACGAAAACAGAGTTAGCGCCATTTTTTGGTGTTGATTGGAGTTTATAATTAATCATTACCTGTATGTCATAATGTAGGAATCTATACAAAGTTGTAATATAAGAAATAAATTTGGAAGATGGAATTGAGTTGGAGATGTTATAATTAAGATATGTTACAGACATCTTATTTAAAAGGAAGAAAAGTTTTAATTGGAACACAGGCATAACAAAATATAAGAACAACCTAGCACAGATATGTTGAAATATTGCTTTTGTTGCAAGAGACCCTCGTATTTCAATGGAAAATTTCGACACCGTTTTCAGGTCTAGCTTTGAAATCCACCTTTCTCTTGAAACAAAACCGTTTAAAGGCAAATCCCGAGAGAAACCTTACACCACGCATAATATTCAGAGAATATCAGAGAAAATCCAAGTTGAAAAGAGAAATGAAAGAAAAAGTTAAATGGGCTAGTTTTGCAATCACAAGGTTCTGCATGAGCGCTGGCATGCTGGCGTTAGCATGCTGGGGTCAAAGTCAGGGAAAGGAAAGGAACTGGCTATCCTACCGCTTCATCCCGCGACTTAGCATGTTTCTCTACTAACTGACTGTCAACCATTCTGGGGATTCTCAAATATCCCAATTTGAACTAAATAACTTCCTTACCTGGGGGACTTCGCACCCAAGCCTATGGCCATATTTTGAATACGCCGCTAATAACCTTAGATGTTGTCGCAACATATATTTTTTTTCAATAAGTAGTAGTTAATGCACAGACGCAATTTATTCAGCTTTATTATTTTAAGATTACACATTATATAGCCCATTCAGCTTGAACTGTGTTTCTATTACATCGGAACAAGCACACTATTCTCTCCCGAGGAATAATTAAAAAAACTCCTTAGCGGGTGCTTAAAAACAACACAATAACATCCACTTGTCATATCATACTGACCGCTGAACTTAAAATAATTGAGCAAGATTCATTATCACATGTTAGTGCAAAATGCAGTATATTAGGAACTATATAATGTTGCCGTGTGTGAAAAAAATAAATCAGGTTCCGGTACTGCTTGCCTGTGACCTGTCATTTCCGGTCAAGCGAGTACTCCTAAAAAAAGGGGGTGATGATGATGAATAAAAAAGAAGCAGAGGAAGAAGACGAAGAAAAAGAAGAGGAAGGGGAAAATGAAAAAAAGAGGTAGAGGAACAACAACAATAATAATAGTAGTAGAAGTATTAGTAGTAGTAATAGTAGTAAGTAGTAGTAGTAATAGGAGCAGAAATAGAAGAAGCTGAAGCCTAACTAAAAACAAATCACACAAAATTCTGAAAACGTGCTAGTTCTAACAAATACATCAGCTGCAGATGATCCTTATTTTAACTGCTTTGCACCGTAAAATCACCGATTAAAGATTAATACGCGGAACGGTAGGTTAGTTTTTACCAAGAGGAATCGCTTCGTGTTATGTGGTCTGAAGAAAAGAAGCAGGTTTTAAGTCTTTCTCAGCCATTATTTCCCCCCAAATGAAAATAAAAAAGCTGTTGGAATGGTTTGGAGATGTCTTTGGCGATGGCAAAAAGGCTGCAGTTTGCTTATATTTGTTGCTGAAGAACTGCACGATGTATACTGATTGTTATGTTAATAATATGGCACAGGTTTATGGGCTCCGTTACTTGAGTTTCGTCTTGCAGGATAAACCACTACAAAAGGGCAAGAAAGTGACCAAATGATGTGCAGTGGACGGGTAGTGGTCCTGACCCTTATGCCATTCATCACATACGAAGCCAAATATAC